GGAGAGAAAACCAAGAAAAAGTAATTTCTAACTCGTCCATACCTGGCATCCAGCTTTCTCCAGCATCCGAGCATATTCTATTGTCTTTTTAAGGTCATCAAAGACTCTTATTTTACAAGTTATTGGAATYGATAGCTTTTCATGTGCAAGGCTAACTGAAATACAGAGATACCGATAACATTAATGAAACATTAAAGGTGTAATATGCCATCTAGAACTTGGCTGATCAGTACCAGTTCCCAGTACAGCTCAAAGAGCAGTTATACAAGCAACATACAATTTTTTTACTCTATCTGCAAGTTTTTGTGAATTTTTTGGCATTAGACTGTTGGTTTATTGTATTATGAAGAAAATAATATGAATATTTTGTTACCAGGATAGCACAGTTGGTAAGAGCATCAATTTTTTATGGTGGTTCAAGCCTTGSCCAGACCAACACTGAGGGTCTTTTAATAACTTAGGACAATGTGCTGCCTTTGTAATTACACCTATAAATGGTTAGACCTTCAGACCTTCAAGTCTTCTCARACAAGGACTTACACTGTAAAAGCATAGGGTAACCTCCTTTTTTATTTTATCTCTGGAATAGTTAATTACTTAATAATTAATAAGGATCCAAATTACCATAAGGAAACAACAGTGGTYATTATTACTTGAACTAATGTTCACAAATTTATTTCAACAGAAAATTCTAACCTATTTTCGAAATCAAGTCCCATTCATCTTGCAAAAAAGCACCATAATGACCTGAATAACAAAACTCATGATTAGTTKAGAAAAATATGGTACTTCATGGACTAAACTCGTAAATTAGATTTCCCCATGGGTTAATACATCACTCTCTTTAAAGTGTATATCAAGGGGRAAAAAATATTTTTATTTTCAAAATAATTTGAATGTGAACAGTGTRGTAGTATGGTTGCATTATTTTTGTATGTGGTCTTCTCTATTGAGAGATATAAACATACTGCAACAATACTACAACTACACTGTTCACATTATATACTCTTCAAGACCCTGATACACCTTGAAACCTTCAGCTGAAACTTAAGTGGAAGGTGTCGTGAGACCAGTTTCACAGGGGTGTTACATGGTGCAATTTAGGCTTTCTGAATCTTACCTTGTGAGAAAGTTTCACCAAAAGTAGAATGTTACTGTTTTCTACCTGTACAACCAAAGCTTGTGTGACAAACAAGTTTCAGGATGAATTTGCACCATTAAACACCCTATCGAAACTTGTTTTGCAACACCATTGCACACACGTTTCAGCTAAGAGTTTTGATATGTAACATATACAAGAAGGAGAGACATTAAGGAGTGGTACCTTTCTTAGCAATTATTTGAGGACATCCAAGATTAAGATCAACAGCATYACAGTGAGACTCTAAAAACTGAGCTGCCTTCACAAATGTCTCTGGGTCATTGGTGCAGAACTTGAAAAACAAACAATAAATAAATAGATAAATAAATAAAAATARATTAAAAAAATAGATAATTTAATTCCAAGGGCTTTCGCCCGGAATAACCTCGTTCCTAAGCACTATAACAGACTTATCTATATTTCTATATCTTCARATAAATGGATGGATGGATGGATTGCTGAATAATGAGACTTTAAAAGCATTGGCATTTCCACAGTGTGTGTGTCTCTAATGTAATGGACTTCTACACTGCTTTTCTGCTCAAACTGTTTGCTTAAAACTACTGAACATTGCCATAAACTCAATTATAGACCTCTTGGCCTGTGGACATATTGTTTTTCCATTTCACATCTAATAATCCATGTGCATTCATTAATAATTGATTCTTTATTTAATAGTTGCACATGAAAAGACATGTGACTGTCAGATTGTGGATAAGTGGCACGTGGTGTGAAATGGAAAAATATTAAACTCAAGAATGACTATTGGTTACTACAGTGTAGTTGGCACTGTGTTAATGTGTTGAATACAAACAAGCGAATAAGAATCAATTAATAGTATTGTCACTAGTTAGCAATGTTATGTGTTGAATACGAGTGAATAAAAAGGAAATGCAAACATCATGTAAAAAAGGGAGTAATAAATATATACACAATTCTTTTACATGGTGTTAAAATAAGGTTCCCCTTATTTACTTGATACACTACTGTACACGATACGACATGACTTTTTTTATACCTGAGCGATTAATGGTCGATCTTCAGGACAAGTCGTAAAGAATTCCTTTCTATATATAGGATCTTTCGCAAACAAACTAGAGTGAAGCATAGGAGTATAACACAGTTGAGCACCATGTCTTCTGCTCAGCATTCTCCATGGTAACTCAGACTGGTCCACCATTGGGGCCACGACTAGTTTGGCCTCTTTTAAATCATTCCTCCAAAAATCGTACCCTTTTCTCTTGATTTTGGACATTCTAGATTAATCGTAATAAAAGATGTAATAAAATRTAATATTTAAGGTTTAAGGTATAAAAATAAGCGCAGAAATGTTGTAAAATTGGCYTCAAAACTCTCTCTATCAGTGTATTCTGTCGGCCATTGCTGTAACATTAATGGGGATAACCGCTTCACGCTATATACGAAAAATGACGTCATTCCAAAAGGAAGAAAATATGTTAGCCAATCAGAATCAGAATGGAGAATATTTGCAAAACTGAGGTGTCACTTCCTTTTGAAATCACGGATTTCCAAGCTACCTAATGAAAATAAATAACTTTGCTAATAATATACATGAAAAAATTAGTCAATACCCAATGTGCACGAGCACGAATCTCTAGCATAAAGCATGGTGGGAAACCGAGTACTCCACAAAACTGAACAAGGAATCCATAGAATTATGAGGAAAAATCACTCTGTTATTTTCTTCTGTTGAAATATTCATATTTCCATAGAAAATGTTGAAGGAAAAATTGACGTCATGAAGGGATTTTTAAAGAGCTGAAAAAGCGTAATTACAGAATTCTCGCTTTTGATTGGATAATAAACAATAGAAAATGATTTAGCCAATAAGATGGCAGATTACTGTGACGGAAAAAAATTGAGGAAAATTTAAAGCAACGAGGCGGGAAATGGCAGCCATTTTAAYACAGTAAGCAAAGATTTTACGTATTTTAYWATCAAATAACTAAAAAAAACCATTAAGAAAAAGAAAACACAAGTAAAAGGACTTCGTTATGGCCGAATATATGGAAGAAATGGTGAGAATAAAAGAAACTACGACATGAGTTGAGGAAAATAAGGGCCAGCTGATCTAAACGAAATACTCGAGCTTTTCTATGCCGAAGTAAATTAGAAACAGAAACGAAAAAAGACTAGACGAGAAAGACTATTAAACACGATGTGGTAAGTGCTTATTACACAATATTTTGGTCTACGATATCCAAGGTCTGAGCCGTAAAGTTTCTTAATAAACGAATTAGCTATCAAATCTATCAAATGCACTAAATATTTTATTCATACTACATCTTTATGCTTTATTCCTTTTAGACTACTATGTTTCTATTCATTTAACATAATTTTGCCTTTTTACAATACGATACAATAACATATTGCCATATATAGCATTTAACGGACAAAAACAAAACACATGATTTTCAAAAGAAAACTTCAGTCCATTCCATTAATTCCATTACGCGTTCAATCAAGAATAAGCACCAAAYAAACTCAATTCAGTCTTTTTGTGGTTACACGCCTATTTTTTTTAGATACTGATATATTTTTAGCTTTAATTATCGATTCAACTTCARGCATAAATGTTTATTATCGAGAATGTTTCGGTTAACTTCGTCGTAAACTTGTTTCTCGTCGCTTCGTCCAAGATCAGTTTGGCGGTTAGAAACCCACCATCATTAGGCTCAGTTTAGGGTGCGATTGCTTCGCTATAAAACCAACTGGAAGGGTAAAGAATAACAGGATTGGGTTAAGATTGAATGGTGTGTTTTAAGAAAACAGTATATAACGTGCGTAGAGTGCTTTTCACAGCCCCCTCACAGCCCAATTTACATACATTTACTGTATTTTACGTATACCTCTATCCGTCCGGGATGTAGTCTTCATCCGTATGTATCTAAGCCTTCACTTTGAAACCCATATAGTTTCCATATTCTCAATTCCAACCACTTGTTTGGAAAAAAATGATTATAAGTAGACTCTGAATTGATGCTTATCTTAAAAATTACATCGACAGAAGAGAATTTTAAGGACGAATTTGACCCTGTTTAAGAGTATCCTTGACCGTATTTAAGAGTATCCTTTTATCAAATGACCGTATTTAAGGGTTTCCTCCTTTCAAATGACCATACGTAAGAGTTTCCTTATCAAGAATAAGCACCAAAAAAATTCAGTTTAGTCTTTTTGTGGTTACACACCTATTTTTTTAAATACTGATATATTTTTTAGCTTCAGACATAAATGTATATTGTCGAGAATGCCTCGGCTTACTTCGTCAACTTGTTTCTCGTCGCTTCGTCCAAGATCAGTATGGCGGTTAGAAATCCACCCTCATTAGCCTCAGTTTAGGGTGCGATTGCTTCGCTATAAAACCAACTGCAAGGGTAAAAAAAATAACAGGATTGGGTTAATAGTGAATGGTGTGTTTTGAGAAAACAGTATATAACGGGCGTAGAGTGCTTTTCACAGCCCCCAAACAGCCCCATTTACATACATTTACTGTATTTTACGTGTACCTCTATCCGCCCGGAATGTAGTCTTCATCCGTATGTATATAAGCCTTCACTTTGAAACCCATATAGTTTCCATATTCTCAATTTCAACCACTTGTTTGAAAAAAGAATGATTATAAGTAGACTCTGAATTAATGCTTATCTTAAAAATTACATCGACAGAAGAATTTTAAAGGACGAATTTGAACCTATTTAAGAGTATCCTTGACCATATTTAAGAGTATTCTTTTTTTCAAATGACCGTATTTAGCAATATCCTTTTTTCAAATGACCAAACGTAAGAGTTTGCTTTTTCAAGAATAAGCACCAAACAAACTCAGTTAAGTCTTTTTGTGGTTACACATCTATTTTTTAAAGTACTGATACATTTTATAGCTTTAATTATCGATTTAACTTCACACATAAATGTCTATTATCAAGAATGTTTCGGCTAACTTCGTCGTAAACTTGTTTCCTGTCGATTCGCCCAAGATCCGTTTGGCGGTTAGAAATCCACGCTCAATGGCCTCAGTTTAGGGTACGATTGCTTCGCTATAAAACCAAACTGCAAGAATAAAGAATAACAGGATTGGGTTAAGAGTGAATGGTGTGTTTTGATAAAAAACTATATGACGGGCGTAGAGTGCTTTTCACAGCCCCCTCACAGCCCAAATTACATACATTTACTGTATTTCACCTGTACCTCTATCAGCCCGGGATGTAGTCTTCATCCGTATGTATCTAAGCCTTCACTTTGAAACCCATATAGTTTCCATATTCTCAATTCCAACCACTTGTTTGAAAAAATGATATAATTAGATTATGAATTGATGCTTATTTTAAAAATTACCGTACATCGACAAAAGAGAATTTTAAAGGACGAATTTGAACCTATTTAAGAGTATCCTTGACCATATTTAAGAGTATCCTTTTTTCAAATGACCATATTTAACGGTATCCTTTTTTCAAATGACCATACGTAAGAGTTTGCTTTTTCAAGAATAAGCACCAAACAAACTCAGTTTAGTCTTTTTGTGGTTACACACCTATTTTTTTAAATACTGATATATTTTTTAGCTTTAATTATCGATTTAACTTCAGGAATAAATGTCTATTATCAAGAATGTTTCGGATAACTTCGTCGTAAACTTGTTTCTCGTCGCTTCGTCCAAGATCAGTTTGGCGGTTAGAAATCCACCCTCATTAGGCTCAGTTTAGCGTACGATTGCTTCGCTATAAAACCAACAGGAAGGATAAAGCATAACAGGATTCGGGTTAAGAGTGATTGGTGTGTTTTGAGAAAAGTCTATATCACGGGCGTAGAGTGCTTTTCACAGCCCATTCACAGCCCAATTTACATACATTTACTGTATTTTAGGTGTACCTCTATCCGCCCGGGATGTAGTCCTCTTCCGTATGTATCTAAGCCTTCACTTTGAAACCCATATAGTTTCCATATTCTCAATTCCAACCACTTGTTTGAAAAAAAAAATGATTAGGCTCTGAATTGATGCTTATCTTAAAAATTACATCGATTAAAGAGAATTTTAAAGGACGAATTTGACCTTATTTAAGAGTATCCTTGACCATATTTAAGAGTATCCTTTTTTCAAATGACCGTATTTAATGGTATCCTTTTTTCAAATGACCATACGTAAGATTTTCCTTTTCAAGAATATGCACCAAACAAACTCAGTTTAGTCTTTTTGTGGTTACACACCTATTTTTTTAAATACTGATATATTTTTTAGCTTCAGACATAAATGTCTATTATCAAGAATGTTTCGGCTAACTTCGTCATAAACTTGTTTCTCGTCGCTTCGTCCAAGATCAGTTTGGCGGTTAGAAATCCACCCTCATTAGCTTCAGTTTAGGGTGCGATTACTTCGCTATAAAGCTAACTGGAAGAGTAAAGAATAACAGGATTGGGTTAAGAGTGATTGGTGTGTTTTGATTAAAAAAAACTATATGACGGGCGTAGAGTGCTTTTCACAGCCCCCTCACAGCCCAATTTACATACATTTACTGTATTTTATGAGGTCCTTCTCCGCCCGGGATATAGTTTTATCCTGTATCTTGAATGCTTCACTTTGAAACCCATTTGGAATCCAATTTTTCAATTACTATCACTCCTAATTCTGTATGACCTTCAAAAACTCGAGGTAGAAACTCTTGAACTCTTTTTCTATTCAATAAAACAAGCTGAAAAAATTTTCCTCGCCCAAACTCAGTTTGTATCAGCGAATAGAACAGTACATTCGATGATACATTCGTGCCGTGCCGTGCCGCGGTGCAGTGATCTTTAAAGTGTATGAACAATAGCCATGCTTAAGGAGGACCTGAGTTTAGACGATAACCCTGTAAAGAAAGGCGTGTCACAAAATTTTCCTACTACCCATACCATTTATAGAAATCGTGTGGGTACAGTTCTAAGAATTATATCATTGGATATCATGCCGATCAATGTCACATATCGGATAAAACAAGCATGGCATTGGACTTAAGCATGTTTGGTCTGGTTATTCTACCTGCATAGTTAGTGCCAGGAATTTGCTGCTAAAAATTCCATTACCTTGAGCAAGATATTCCTTGGGGGCAAGGGGAGGCGTAAGTATTGGCTTACAAGAAGCTTAAGGGTGTAACATTTGGCGCTTCTAAAACCAGTATTTTTTAACGACAAAAACAAAATAAATGACACCATTGATACGTATTTAACTTGCTCTTTTAGAATTTGATAGTTTTAACCCTAAAATTTACCTAGGATTTACTTCTAGGATCGGACTTTTTCTAGGTGGATGTGGGATCGAGTAACAAAATTCTTTGGTATTTCACTTTAAAATCAATATAGAGATTTGAAGATTACTTGAAGAATTGC